TACATTTATGGCGCGCCCTTCACCTTGGGGGGAATAAGTGCAATGATTATTAATGTGAGCAAAACAAATAGCGGAGTGCCCCCCATCGGTGGAGAAGAACCACAACTGCAGTCGGCTGCGATGAAAGAATTTAAATTAAGTAATAGTAATCCTTGCATTATCCCGTCAATTGAGATGTCTCAAAGCGCTTCGCAGGAGATACTGTAAAGTGAGGTGACTGTGTATTTTGTGGGTGAAACGCGGCCGCCAGTCGCGGACAGCAGTGAGTTGGTGACCTGATAGAGGTCTCTGAAATGATGAAAGGTTTTGATAGGGGTAGACATGGAGAAGATGTTTCCACTTGTGGGGGAGACCAAAACCAGAGGCCATTAATATATATATATATATGTGTGTGTGTATATATATATTAAATAGCAATAAATCAAATAGGGAAGTCAGAAGAAACTTATTTACCCGGAGAGTGGTGGGAATGCGGAACTTGCTGCCACAAGGGGTAGTTGAGGCGAATGGCATAGATGCATTTAAGGGGAAGCGAAATAGGTACCTCTGGAAGACGTGAAAAGCGCTATACCAAATGCAAGGATTATTATTACTCTTATTAATTAGTATGACTACCACAAGAGGAAGACAGGAATAGAAGGTTGTGCTGGTAGGTTTAGTTGAGGGAGGGCAGGAGGAGGCTCACGTGGAGCGTAGACCAGTTGGGCCGAATGGCCTGTTTCTGTGCTGTATCTTCCATGTAATTCTGCGTAAGCGCTTCGGGACGTCAGCAAAATGTGATAAAACCGCTACATCAAATGCAATAATTATTATTATTATTATTATTATTAAGTGTGTAAAGGCACCACCGCAGCATGTTCACAGCTTAGATAACTGAGCCTCCGCTTTTAAACCCCCAAACCTCCTTCTTTAAACCCCCGAACCTCCCCTTTAAACCCCCGAACCTCCCCTTTAAACCCCGAACCTCCCCCTTTAAACCCCCGAACCTCCCCTTTAAACCCGAACCTCCCCTTTAAACCCCGAACCTCCCCTTTAAACCCCGAACCTCCCCTTTAAACCCCGAACCTCCCCTTTAAACCCCCGAACCTCCCCTTTAAACCCCCGAACCTCCCCTTTAAACCCAGAACCTCCCCTTTAAACCCCGAACCTCCCCCTTTAAAACCCCCGAACCTCCCCTTTAAACCCCGAACCTCCCCTTTAAACCCCGAACCTCCCCTTTAGACCCCGAACCTCCCCTTTAAACCCCGAACCTCCCCCTTAAACCCCGAACCTCCCCCTTTAAACCCCCGAACCTCCCCTTTAAACCCAGAACCTCCCCTTTAAACCCCGAACCTCCCCTTTAAACCCCGAACCTCCTCCTTTAAACCCCGAACCTCCCCTTTAAACCCCGAACCTCCCCTTTAAACCCCCGAACCTCCCCTTTAAATCTCTGAACGACTTTCCCTTTAACACCCCTGAACCTCCCCTTTAAGGAGCCATACCTGTGGCCGCTTTGCCATCACGGAGAGCGGCGGCGGCGGCTCCATGATGACCGGCACTCGATCTCCGGCCTCTCCTCCCGCTCATGGACGCCGCCCGTCACTTACTTCACCGTCAGAGACGAGCGACAACTGAAGCCCCGCGCGTCCCGAACGGCGGCTGCGGCTGCGAGCGACCCGCCTCCCACTCTGATTGGTCCACAGAACGCCGGGCGTGGCCACAGTCTCGAATTTCGATTGGTTCCATCCAACGTCAACCCACCAGGGTCTCGTTCCGATTGCTCAGGACTCACGTCAATCAACTGGCGGGGGGGGGGGGTGGCCTGTGGGAGGCGGGATCCGCTTTTCATTGGTTTAGAACGATGTCGATCATTGGCGCTCCTCTCCGGATTGGGTCGGAATGCATCGTCCGCATCCCGCCTCTCGCCCCGAGGCAGGGAGCATGCGCGCGCGACAAGCATTCTGGGGGTTGTAGTCCTTGGTCGGGATGACACTGAAATAATAACAATGATGATTTGATACAACGCCTTATCCCGTCTTCGCGGCTTCTCAAAGCACTTCACGGGACAGACTGTAAAGTGCAGTGACCCCCCGGGGTCTGGCCTCCTCCTGGTCCCCCGAGCCCTCCGCTCCACCCTCGGCGGCCGCGCCTTCAGCCACTATGCCCCGAGGCTCTGGAACTGCCTTCCTCACTCCCTTCGTCTCACTCCCTCCCTTCCTATTTTCAGGTCTCTGCTGAAGACCTTTCTTTCCGTTCGCCCACAAATATACAGTCAATTCACTTTACAGTGTGTTCTGTGAAGCGCTTTGGGACGTCCTCTCCCGACGTGAAAAGCGCTATATCAAATGCAAGGATTATTATTATTATTATTATTATTTTCGACCGCACCTTTGGTCACCTTCCCCCACCCCCCCCCCACCACCCCCCGCCCCACCCCCCGGCTCGACCCCGGGATCCGTGACTGTGAAGCGCTCTCTGAGACGCCGTCCGGCGCGGAGGGCGCGGTATAAATCCGCGTTGCTGTTGTTGTCGTCGTATTTTGTGGGCGAAAATGCGGCAGCCAATTGCATGCAGCGACGTGCCACAAACAGTCGTGGACTGAGCGACCAAATTATTATTATTTCTTTTTTTCAGGAGGGATTATTACCCCCAGAAAAGCGATCCACCAATCGGTGGATTGACAACCGGGTTCCTACTTACTGCGAGACAAACAACAAGTTGCATTTATATATATATATATTTATACATTATAGCGCCCTTCACGTGGGTTAGCGCTTGACAGTGACGGAGCCTGATCCCGAGCCGGGGGGCGGGGGAGAGGGAAGGGGGAGGTGACCGTAATCACGATCAAAAGGGAAAGTCTTTAGGCGTGATTTGAAAGTGCAGAGGGAGGGATTGATGGAAAGAGTTCCAAAGTTTCGGGGCGTAGTGACTGAAGGCGCAACCGCCGATGGTGGAGCAGAGGAGCTGAGGGACGAAGAGGCGGTGGGTGGAGGCAGCCAAGCGGAGGCAGCGGAGAGAGGAGCAAGCAAATCGGAGAGGTGGGGAGGTGCGAGGGCATGAAATGATATGAAAACGACTGAGAGTATCGTGAAACCGATCCATTCGGTGATTGGAAAATTCTGTACACTGTTCGGTGTCTGAAAGGCACTGTCCAGCGCCTCGTGACGCACTCCCGACGTGAAAGGCGTGATACAAATGTAATCTTGTTGTTGTTGTTGTTGTTGGAACCAGCGGAGCCCGGCGAGGACCGCTGCGATGGGGGTGATGGAGTTTTGTGCGGGTGAGGAGGGGATGCAGTTCTGATTTAGTTGTATTTTGTGTACGGGGGGGAGCGAGGGAAGACCAGCGAGGTGCGTGGCGGAAGGAAACCCTCGTTTCTTGCCCAGTCCGGGAAACGAACCCGGGTCCTTTGGTTTGCCTGGACGAGCGCTCTTGCCACTGAGCCGCAGCAAGAGTATAATCAGAGAAGGGCTTTGAGATGTCTCAAGGATGTGGTAACATGCTGTATCAAATGCAAGGATTATTATATTTTATTCTAGATTGATTGGATGAGCATGGATCCAAACAGAGACTCACACAAAGTATGAATGCCTGTTTTCCAAGTCCTGCACAAACACAAGGGATGGGATTGCCCATTCCCCCCCCCCCCCCCCAAAGCATCATGCTCCATATCCTGCCACAAGCTTTAATATAGTTCAGCAGCTAATCAATGTTTACACGGTGTACACTTGTAGCAGTTACAATTCTATTTTTGAGGTCAGTTTTGCGGTATTTCTGAACAGATTTCTTAATTAAGAATTCGGAAATCTGTGACGGTAACTGATGGGAATACTGCTCCACCTCAGTCTAATTCTGGACTATTATTCCCTCGAGATTAACAAGCGTAACATGCATGACTTACAATATATATGAAACGCCCTTTGTGTAAGATAACGTCTCAGAGCTCTGTATCTCCACCTGACAGTTACCAGACAGACAGGCTTCATTTACGAATAGTATTAACAATTTAAGAAGATACAAAGGTGGCATCTTTCTTAGAAAGGTAAAGAAAGACTGACTGATCGAGCAGAAGCTAATGTACGTGCAGCTTTTGGATCAGGAAATGTAAATCTCTCAAAGTCTTGTGGCTTAGCAATCTCTGATTCAAGGAAGTGGTGATACCACAACAACAACAACAAGATTCCATTTATAAAGCGCCTTTCACGTCAGGAGGACGTCCCAAGGCGCTGCACAGTTGGGTCATGACCCGAGCAGGGGGGAAATGGTCAGGGTGAGGGGAGAGAAGGGAGGGAGCGAGGAGGGGGAAGAGAGTCGAGAGGGGAGCTGAAGGCTCGGTCAAAGAGAAAAAGTGAAAAAGTGATAGCGAAGCAATGGGTCCTTATAATAATCCCTCCAAAACAAAACGATAATAAATTGGTCATTTTCAACCCACGCCTGTTTGTGTGTGGGACATTGCTGTGCGCAATTGGCTGCCGCGTTCGCCCACAAACATACAGTCAATTCACTCTACAGTGTGTTCTGTGAAGCGCTTTGGGACGTCCTCTCCCGACGTGAAAAGCGCTATATCAAATGCGAGGATTATTATTATTATTATTATTATATCAAATGCGAGGATTATTAAGAGGGGGCCCACAAACAGCCGCAAGGCAAATGCCCGATTTTATGCCCGGGCGACAGCCGAAAATTCTCAACAACAAAAACAACTTGCACTTGCACAGCCCCACCCACAAAGCAAGATAGCGGCTGCGCGCGCAGCGAGGGGTGTCCGGAAGTCGAGGCTGCGCGCGCAGTGAGGGGAGCCCGGGGGTAGATGCTGCGCGCGCAGTGAGGGGAAACGCTGGGATCGGGGCTGCGCGCGCAGTGAGGGGAGCGCGGGCGGGTAGTGGGGGAGGGTGGAGGCTGCGCGCGCAGTGAGGGGAGCGGAGGTAGAGGGTGCGCGCGCAGTGAGGGGAGCGCGGGGGTGGCGGGGGGTGGGGTAGAGGCTGCGCGCGCAGTGAGGGGAGCGGTGGTAGAGGGTGCGCGCGCAGTGAGGGGAGCGCGGGATGAGGGCGGGCAGCGCGAGAGCCAACCAACCGTTAAAGCGCCTCGCGGAGAACGGCGGCGGCGACGACGACTCGCGCGGGAGAGACGCTGCCGATAGACTCGGTTCAGACTCGAAGTGACTCGAAGACGCTGAAGAGGGGCTCTTCGGAGCCGGTTATCGTTCCCCCTCTCTCACACCCACCCACGGGCCAGAGGGTGAGGAGAAGACATGAGCGGCTCAGCCAAGAGGCGAGCGGCGGCTCCGAAGGTGGCGAGGAGCCCCAGCCTGAGGCGGGAGGAGCGGAAGCCAGAGGAGGGCAGCCAGGCGGCCTGGCTCAGGTACTGCCCCCGTGCCCCCCCCCACCACCATGTACACTGCGATATACCCCTCCCCGTGTGTGCTGTGATATACCCCTCCCCGTGTACACGCTGTGATATACCCCTCCCGTTGCGCGCTGTGATATACCCCTCCCCGTGTCCTGTGATATACCCCTCCCCGTGACACACTGTGATATACCCCTCCCTGTGCTGTGATATACACCTCCCCGTGTGTGTGCTGTGATATACCCCTCCCCGTGTACACACTGTGATATACCCCTCCCCGTGTACACACTGTGATATACCCCTCCCCGTGTGTGCTGTGATATACACCTCCCCGTGTACACGCTGTGATATACCCCTCCCCGTGTGTGCTGTGATATACCCTCCCCGTGTACACACTGTGATATACCCCTCCCCGTGTGTGCTGTGATATACCCTCCCCGTGTACACACTGTGATATACCCCTCCCCGTGTACAAGCTGTGATATACCCCTCCCCGTGTGTGCTGTGATATACCCTCCCCGTGTACACACTGTGATATACCCCTCCCCGTGTGTGCTGTGATATACCCCTCCCCGTGTACACGCTGTGATATACCCCTCCCCGTGTACACGCTGTGATATACCCCTCCCCGTGTGTGCTGTGATATACCCCTCCCGTGTGTGCTGTGATATACCCTCCCGTGTGTGCTGTGATATACCCCTCCCCGTGTGTGCTGTGATATACCCCTCCCCGTGTGTGCTGTGATATCCCCGTGTGTGCTGTGATATACCCCTCCCCGTTGTACACGCTGTGATATACCCCTCCCCGTGTACACGCTGTGATATACCCCTCCCCGTGTGTGCTGTGATATACCCCTCCCCGTGTGTGCTGTGATATACCCCTCCCCGTGTACACGCTGTGATATACCCCTCCCCGTGTACACGCTGTGATATACCCCTCCCCGTGTACACGCTGTGATATACCCCTCCCCGTGTACACGCTGTGATATACCCCTCCCCGTGTACACGCTGTGATATACCCCTCCCCGTGTGCGCGCTGTGATATACCCCTCCCCGTGTGCGCGCTGTGATATACCCCTCCCCGTGTGCGCGCTGTGATATACCCCTCCCCGTGTGCGCGCTGTGATATACACCTCCCCGTGTGCGCGCTGTAATATACCCCTCTCCGTGTACACGCTGTGATATACCCCTCCCCGTGTGTGTGCTTTGATATACCCCTCCCCATGTACATGCTGTGATATACCCCTCCCCGTGTACATGCTGTGATATACCCCTCCCCGTGTACACGCTGTGATATACCCCTCCCCGTGTACACGCTGTGATATACCCCTCCCCGTGTACACGCTGTGATGTACCCCTCCCCGTGTACACTCTGTGATGTACCCCTCCCCGTGTACACACTGTGATGTACCCCTCCCCGTGTACACACTGTGATGTACCCCTCCCCGTGTACACACTGTGATGTACCCCTCCCCGTGTGCGCTGTGATATACCCCTCCCCGTGTGCGCTGTGATATACCCCTCCCCGTGTACACGCTGTGATATACCCCTCCCCGTGTACACGCTGTGATGTACCCCTCCCCGTGTACACACTGTGATGTACCCCTCCCCGTGTGCGCTGTGATATACCCCTCCCCGTGTGTGTGCTGTGATATACCCCTCCCCGTGTACACGCTGTGATATACCCCTCCCCGTGTACACACTGTGATATACCCCTCCCCGTGTGTGTGCTGTGATATACCCCTCCCCGTGTGTGTGCTGTGATATACCCCTCCCCGTGTACACACTGTGATGTACCCCTCCCCGTGTGCGCTGTGATATACCCCTCCCCGTGTGCGCTGTGATATACCCCTCCCCGTGTGTGCTGTGATATACCCCTCCCCGTGTACACACTGTGATATACCCCTCCCCGTGTGTGTGCTGTGATATACCCCTCCCCGTGTGTGCTGTGATATACCCCTCCCCGTGTGTGCTGTGATATACCCCTCCCCGTGTGTGTGCTGTGATATACCCCTCCCCGTGTACACACTGTGATATACCCCTCCCCGTGTACACACTGTGATATACCCCTCCCCGTGTACACACTGTGATATACCCCTCCCCGTGTGCGCACTGTGATATACCCTTCCCCGTGTGCGCGCTGTGATATACCCTTCCCCGTGTGCGCGCTGTGATATACCCTTCCCCGTGTGTGTGCTGTGATATACCCCTCCCCGTGTGTGTGCTGTGATATACCCCTCCCCATGTGTGCTGTGATATACCCCTCCCCGTGTGTGTGCTGTGATATACCCCTCCCCGTGTACACACTGTGATATACCTCTCCCCGTGTACACACTGTGATATACCCTTCCCCGTGTGCGCGCTGTGATATACCCTTCCCCGTGTGCGCGCTGTGATATACCCTTCCCCGTGTGCGCGCTGTGATATACCCCTCCCCGTGTGCGCGCTGTGATATACTCCTCCCCGTGTGCGCACTGTGATATACCTCTCCCCGTGTGCGCACTGTGATATACCCCTCCCCGTGTGCGCACTGTGATATACCCCTCCCCGTGTGTGCACTGTGATATACCCCTCCCCGTGTGCGCACTGTGATATACCCCTCCCCGTGTACACACTGTGATATACCCCTCCCCGTGTACACACTGTGATATACCCCTCCCCGTGTACGCACTGTGATATACCCCTCCCCGTGTGCGCACTGTGATTTCCCCTTCCCCGTGTGCGCGCTGTGATATACCCTTCCCCGTGTGCGCGCTGTGATATACCCTTCCCCGTGTGCGCGCTGTGATATACCCTTCCCCGTGTGTGTGCTGTGATATACCCCTCCCCGTGTGTGTGCTGTGATATACCCCTCCCCGTGTACACACTGTGATATACCCCTCCCCGTGTACACACTGTGATATACCCTTCCCCGTGTGCGCGCTGTGATATACCCTTCCCCGTGTGCGCGCTGTGATATACCCTTCCCCGTGTGCGCGCTGTGATATACCCCTCCCCGTGTGCGCGCTGTGATATACCCCTCCCCGTGTGCGCGCTGTGATATACCCCTCCCCGTGTGCGCGCTGTGATATACCCCTCCCCGTGTGCGCGCTGTGATATACCCCTCCCCGTGTGCGCGCTGTGATATACCCCTCCCCGTGTGCGCGCTGTGATATACCCCTCCCCGTGTACACGCTGTGATATACCCCTCCCCGTGTGCGCACTGTGATATACCCCTCCCCGTGTGCGCTGTGATATACCCTCCCCGTGTACGCGCTGTGATATACCCCTCCCCGTGTACGCGCTGTGATATACCCCTCCCCGTGTGCGCGCTGTGATATACCCCTCCCCGTGTGTGCTGTGATATACCCCTCCCCGTGTGCGCGCTGTGATATACCCCTCCCCGTGCGCGCTGTGATATACCCCTCCCCGTGCGCGCTGTGATATACCCCTCCCCGTGTGCGCGCTGTGATATACCCCTCCCCGTGTGCGCTGTGATATACCCCTCCCCGTGTGCGCGCTGTGATATACCCCTCCCCGTGTGCGCGCTGTGGACGGGGTTGTGCAGCCCTCGCCTTTCCCATTGAAGGCAGTTGGATTGAGCGCCTGATCCGGTTCATCGTGTGTCACGGCGTGAAGGCTGGACGTTGCCTTTGCTGTGGACTGCCGGATGCTTATGTGCACAACGCCTGGGCTTCAGGGAGTGAGTGAGGAGTGTGTGGGTATTGCGGCAGGGCGAGCTGGTTGGAAGTGAGCGCCCAGATTTAACTGACCCAGATGTTGGAGCTGCTGTGCAATTCTGTGCCTGTGTTAATGGGACAGAAGAAGCCTAGAAATGGGACCGCGAGAATAAGCTGTAGTTTGGAATGAACACCAACTGCTGGAACCTCCCAACCAACTCAACACTTGGAGAATGAGTTAACAACCGTGGAGACGGGGGGGGCGGGGAAAGGGGGAAAAAAGTTTGCTATAATACGGTAGCCGTGTGAGATCGTACCTTCTGTAAAAATGAGTCATCTGTTCTGTTTAGGTACCATTAGCAGTAAGAAAGTGGAGAGATGAAGAGGAAAGATGAGTGTAACCACAGCAGATTGATTCAGCGTTCCGGACAGTTAAGACCCATCCTACCAGCGAGACAGCACTGAGACTATAGCAACAGTAAAATCCCAGCAACTAGAGAGAAGTAGGAATGAACAGTATCAGTGGATGTGATGCAGATAAACGCAAGGTACTGCACTTAAGAAATAAAAAGTAGGGTTGGGGGGTGGGGGCGGTTTGGGCTATTCTAAAGGATAGAGGGATTAAGTGATATGGCGATAGGGCGGGTAAATGGAATTAGGTTAGAAGAACAGCCATGATCTTATTAAATAATGGGGCAGGCTCGAGAGGCCGAATGGCCTACTCCTGCTCTTACACCTTATGGATTTATGGGGTGTTTGGGTACATGCTGAGGGGGGGAGAAGCTGAGAGCCGTAGAGATGTCAACAACAACAACAAATTACATTTTATAGTACCTTTCACATCCCAAGGCGCTGGACAGTCAGGGGTTGGGATCAGGAGGGTGATCGAGGCGCAATCGTAGAGGAGTGTCTTGAAGGAGTTCAGAGACGGAGGGAGTCGAAGGGATGTGAGATAGAGTTCCAAAGAGTGGTGGGGCAGTCAGGACAGGGGACATGGAGCATGGCCAGGACCCGCTGCACGGACATGCTTATATGGAGTTATCAGGTCACAGAGGTAGGGAGGAGCAAGGTCTTGGAGGGCTTTGAAGCAAGCAGGAGGATTATGAACTCTACCCTCTTTTATTTACGTTAGTTAATTTGTTGCTCACAATGTCAACACAATATGAGATGGCAATATATAATGCTGTATCATATTGCAGAATCAGTTCGACCATGTCACTGTAACATAGGAGGGTTCAAATTGCCCGTGCAATGCAGAGGCAAGCAGTGAGTGTGAATCCCAGCGTTAGCGGGTGTGCTATGAGGAACAATTTAGATGAGACCGTGCTCTTTAGCCTCGAAGAACAATGACTCGGGG